CATGGATGGATCGTGGTGAGCACGTGCACCCGGGCCCTGTGCTGACCTTTCCAAATGCGCCCGTACATGGTAGTGGAACACCACTCCTGCAGTCTGCAGACTGCAGTGCAGGTTATCTACTAGTAGTACGGAGGAGTAGCCATGTCGGCCAGTGCATCTAGCAGCCAGCTCGGCCATCAGCGCGCCACGGCTGACTTCCCTGCGAAATTGAGAATCTACTAATCCTAGTAGGATAATATAATGGCGTTAGCCGACAGCGCATCGACCGTTCCATGTTCATCCACGTCGGCATTCACCACTCAGGTACTCCCTTATTATAGAATGTGGAATCCAATACTGCGCTCAAGTGTAGATTAAGATTTAAGAACATCCTCGGTTGCTGTTAATCATATCTAAGTAGGTAATCCCACTGGTGTACATGAAAATATACGTTTAAGCCATGTCTTGTCAAAGTGACATGATCCTCTCTGGTCAGGAGAGAATATTGGCTCCTTACCGTTGCTTTTCTTCCCTCTCCTCCTCCATAGGTTTTGGGCAGGTCAAAAGAGACAGAGGATTACACATTAGTGTATGTAATCGAAAGGAATCTGTGTAAAAAAGGTACTGTGTTAAATATTAACCTAACTCAAAAGATGATAAAGGAGGGAATTTGTGTTTGTACTACTACCATGATGTACGCTGTGTGTGACCTGTGGTGATGTAGTCCGGCATTTTACACAAAAAAAAAAGTTGAGTTTGTCGTGTCAGCTCGCCTTTTTGGTTGGGCATCAGTAGATAATAATGCAATGTTGATGTAACCTAAGGTTCTATAGGTGCTAGGATATATATCAAGATTCTAGCTAGCTCATTGAATACAATTTTTATATATATCTAGAATGCAACCAAATTTGGATTATACGGGACTATGAACCGCTTGCTAAGTTTATCCCAGAGATAGCAAAGGGTGGGGCAATCATATGCAAGAGTTCAGTCCTATATGTTGTCTAGTGGTATCATTGGTTAAGAATTTCTTTTCAAACAAAGTGTAGCTCATCTGATTAAAGTTTTAATAGTGGAGCATGTCGAACCAAGTTCAAGTTCTCGACTAAACAAGAGTGCTCGCATTTTTTCTAGAATTAAATTTAACACACTATTCTCTTATTTTTCATTTTCCAGGGTGCTCGTAAGGCAGGGTGCAGAGGCAAAGCTACATAGAGATTAGATGGGTGCAAATGTGCCCCCTAAAAGTTGTAAAATAGTGATTGTCTTAAATTCCACCATATATGCACTCATATAACACATGTCTATGCATCCACGAGGCAAGCACATTCCCTATCTAATTTGTTCAAGCTTCGCCACTACATACATGTTATCTCTGGATGCACACGCTGAGCACCATGTCCATCGTATTCACGGTCGTTCTATTAATTGTTTGCAAAGGCCACACTAATGACATAGATGCACATGGTTGAACACATTGTTCAGAAAAGTCACTGGCGATTAGTCTTTCATGTTTTAAATTATAAGTTGTTTTGATTTTGCTAGTTACATAATTTTTGTTATACATCTAGATATATGCTATGTCCAAACACATAATTTTTAATATGTATCTTAAAAAGCCAAAACTTACAACTTAGATGGAGTACCTCAGCACCTTATTGATCTTGGGCTAGTTGTGCGTTTAATATTAGTGCTGGACAATGTGCTAAAAGACGGAAGGAGGCCAAGCCTGCTCACTGCCAACGTACTGACACCTCTCTGACGTCCGCATATATATATCCCTCAGTGAGGGATCCTACTCTTCAATTGTTGACATGAGATACATGTATGGCTGAATTTCTCCTAGCGCTCCTCTGATCCACAACCCGCTTCTTTAAGTCTACACTTCGATTAACCTCCAATCCAGTTCTCACTGCTACAAAAATAATTTTGGGAAGGCGACCACAAAATTTAGGTGTCTCCTAAAATACCTGAGGATTTTTTAAGACGGTCATTTTATTTACGAAGGCGGTCACAAATTATTAGTCTCCTAAAATAATTTTACAGAGGCAGTAAAAAATATATGTCTTCTAAAATACATTAACAGAGGCTGGCCTCTTAAGAGGTCCACCCCCGAACATAGCAACCGGCCTGTCAAGGAAAAGGCATAAGAGGACTGTTACCTATATTTGGATGCTCCTCGGCTTCTCTCTCAACCTGCTCTCTCAGAACTGAACTCTCTCTTCTCTTTCGGCGTGCTCGAGTTACAAGGGGTGTTGCTTGAGACGAAAGAAGAATTGTATATTAGATTATAGCTAGGTACATCATCACGTTACAAGTACTCTGAAATACATTACATATATCTAGAAACTGATTTTCATCTAAATTATACAAACGCTGTGAATAGCTCCAAATCTCGAATCCAAACCTGTATTGACGCTTCATATGGATGACCGCATAGGCAAACACTCAGCAAAAGTCCTGAGAACATATGCCCAATGAACGACGGCCAACATTCCCGCAGGCGGAGTTGAGAAACTTCTTCTTTCTTCTGACTTCCTTCTTCTTTCTGCCACCGAAGAATGAAGAAGACCGATCTGAAACTTATTCTCCCTAGTCCTTTATTGTGGCCAGATCTAACCAAAACAAAACGGAGAAGAGACCGGGGAAAACTATTCCATAGCGGCGACATCATCTCCGCCTTGATGTCGCCCCGGAAAGAAAAGTCTCCATGTCACCATCCAATGAAGTTGCTGATGCCATAGTTATCACCCTCATCTTCAGCAGAGCCGCCATGGAGAAAACGATTCCACTGTCCCCTCGCCGTCGCCAGAGAGAGGAGATAAATCCCCAATACCAAAAAATTTTAGCATGAAGAGACCCTAACCCTAATGACTCGATTTACTAGAAAAAGTTATTAAAAACGATGGATCCCCACTCCCTTCGGCCTTCGACGAGATGTCGGAGGGGAAGGGAGGGGGACCAGTGCTGGTGGAAGGCGGGCGGCGGCGCTAGGAAAGTCACGAGTCGCGGCGGCCAGGTATTGTGCGAGTCGTGTGACTGTTTGTGCGATTAGAATACTCGCGTGTCGCGAGTATTCTAATGTGTACCAGTCGAGAGCTCCCTACTCGTCTTATATACCCCGGGGTAGGGTTACATAGATGGTATTACAGATATATTTTCTAATTAGTTACATGGAAATAATAACACGCTATCGTATCCTGTGGAAATCGGTGCCCAAGCTTCCTATGCCGGGTTACTTGATCACCACGTCCGATGATCTACCCTAATTCGGGTGGGCCTCGTCTTCGCCGGCCTCGGCCTATCCCGACGATGATAGTGGACTTATATCGGGGCGATGAGGTACCTTGGGTCCATATCACCGATAGGTACTTTGTATTAGGAAAGAACATTGTTTAGTTTATTTGAAACATCATAGGTGTGAACAATAAAATTTAAACGTAGAACGTATGAGGCATAATTTTTGTTTAAAAATCTAGACTGTTGAGTCGTAAAAAAAATTAATGCGTATATATTTTTTCAATAAATTTCATCTCATAATTTTTAACGTGTGATCTTTTTTTAACATTATTGATTTATTGTACTGCAGTCTTTACTTGCCTGTTCGACGCGCCAGAAATGCGCAAAACCAACAACGCAGCAGAGTCTTCCCATTTGCTGCGCGCGACACAAGCAAGGGGGATGATGATCTCCATTCGATCGCCACCGGGAACAAAGTACATATGATGATACAGTGCATTATTGATACGATCAATAGTGGGCCCTCAACTTGTTCGATCTCGCGGAACTTATTCCACGGGCAGGAAAGGGTGATCGAGAGCGGCCGTGGGGCGCGAACGCCTCAGCACCCTCCGTCCCTAGCTTCTTCGTTCACTGATCCTATACAACGCAGAAATCCCTGGCACTAGGCCTTTTGATTAACCAGGCCGGCCTGCCACGGCACCCCCTATAAAAACCCGGCCAGCCTGCATACATGGCACAGCACAGCAACACATCTACCCTTGAAGTTGTAGCAGCTCTCACCTTCTCTCTTCAAGCTAGCAGCTCTTCTTGCATTGTTGCAAGAGGTAGAAGGCAGGAGAAGAGGAGAGGTGGACTTCTGCAAAGGTAATTAATCCTTCAATGCACGCATGGCATATGCTTGTAGTACGTACGCCCACCACTGTTGCAATCTTATCCTATCTCTTGCATTATATTGGTGTGATGCGTCTTCTTGCAAGGTCCGGGTCTCGGTGCATGGTCTTGGTCTGTGTCAGTCAGTGGACACTGTCCCCACCACTCCCCGTGAGATAGATCTCTGACCGGGACGGTGCATCCAGGCAAGTTGTTATACCGTAGATAGCCAGCAAAAATACCCAACAGTATAACACTATTTTCCATATACATAAACTTCACCCTAAAGATAGCCAGAAGGGGGAAAAAAAGCACGACGTCCTGTTCGTTTGGGCTTGTTTGGCTGATAAGCTATGGCTGAAAATATTGACTGATTTGATGTGAGAGAAAAATACTATTCGTTGGCTGAAAAAGTACGATTTATAAGCCAAACAAACTCAAACGAATGGGAGGATGGTTCCGTGCAACTGTGCAAGTGCAAGATCCCCTATTCCCCTGCCGTGATCACCCACACGGACACGGCCACACCTTCCAGGCAACAGGCTATAAACTGCCGCCGTCGCCCCACACACTCACTCAGTTCACCAGCTAGCCAACCACGAGCCAGTGGAGTGGTAGCCTATAGCCTATAGCTAGCTCAGTGAGTGCTGGAGTCGTCGCCCGCCTCTGAATTCCACGCTGAGTCTTCCTGCGCGCTTCCTTCTAATTCCGTGTCTTTCAGCACGTTCTAGCTCGCTCGTCCTGTCGATCGGTGGCTGTATAAATTGCTGCGTAAGTCACGTTGCTGAGCACTTCATCTAGAGCACCGGTGTAGTAGTCTCACTGTTCAGGCGTTGTATTTGTAACTCGTGCAGATAGGGGAGAACGGTACCGGTGTGCCCGCCAAGCACTACTACCCGGCGGCGGCCATGGAGGTGACCTCGATGGAGCTCGGTCACACGGCGGCCTCTAAGTGCTATGACGACGACGGTCGCCTCAAGCGCACCGGTAAGGAGATCAGCTAGCTAGCGGCCTGGCAACAAGCGGCCAGCTGTACATGCTACGCCTGCCTGCCGTGCTTCTTCTTGATCAAAATAGATGCAGAAAGCTGATGGTCTGTCATGAAGGGACGATGTGGACGGCGAGCGCGCACATTATCACGGCCGTGATAGGGTCCGGGGTGCTGTCGCTGGCGTGGGCCATCGCGCAGCTCGGCTGGGTGGCCGGCCCCGCCGTCATGCTGCTCTTCTCCTTCGTCACCTACTACACGTCGGCGCTGCTCGCCGACTGCTACCGCTCCGGCGACGCGTGCACCGGCAACCGCAACTACACCTACATGGACGCGGTTAACGCCAATCTCAGTACGTGCGAAAACCCCCGCGCACGCATGCGCCATTCTTCGCTGTACTCCGCCGCCGTTGGCCCGTTGGCCGTTGCAGAGCAAGACTGATGATTCTCGTTGTTTCTCCTTCCCTGCTGTCGGTCGTTTCGTCGAGCAGGTGGCATCAAGGTGCAGCTCTGCGGGTTCCTGCAGTACGCGAACATCGTCGGAGTCGCCATCGGCTACACCATTGCCGCCTCCATTAGCATGCTGTGAGTATATATATAAAAGACCACGAGAACCGACCGCACGTTCCGAGCCGAGCTGAGCTCAGCTTAATTTGGTGACGTGACGAACTGACGTGTGCTGCTGCGTGTACATCCACAGGGCGATCAAGAGGGCGAACTGCTTCCACGTGGAGGGGCACGGGGACCCGTGCAATATCTCCAGCACGCCGTACATGATCATCTTCGGCGTGGCCGAGATCTTCTTCTCGCAGATCCCAGACTTTGACCAGATCTCGTGGCTCTCCATCCTCGCCGCCGTCATGTCCTTCACCTACTCCACCATCGGCCTGGGCCTGGGCATCGTCCAGGTGGTGGCCAACAAGGGCATCCAGGGCAGCCTCACGGGCATCAGCATCGGCGCGGTCACCTCGCTCGACAAGGTGTGGCGCAGCCTGCAGGCGTTCGGCGACATCGCCTTCGCCTACTCCTACTCGCTCATCCTCATCGAGATCCAGGACACCATCCGGGCGCCGCCGCCGTCCGAGTCCAAGGTCATGCGCCGCGCCACCATCGTCAGCGTCGCCGTCACCACGCTCTTCTACATGCTGTGCGGGTGCATGGGCTACGCCGCGTTCGGCGACAACGCGCCCGGGAACCTCCTCACGGGCTTCGGCTTCTACGAGCCCTTCTGGCTCCTCGACGTCGCCAACACCGCCATCGTCGTTCACCTCATCGGCGCCTATCAGGTCTACTGCCAGCCGCTGTTCGCCTTCGTCGAGAAGTGGGCGCAACAGCGGTGGCCCAAGTCCCGCTACGTCACCGGCGAGGTCGACGTTCCGCTCTCCCTCGCCGGGGCCGCCGGCCGGTGCTACAAGCTCAACCTGTTCCGGCTGACGTGGCGAACGGCGTTCGTGGTGGCCACGACCGTGGTGTCCATGCTGCTGCCCTTCTTCAACGACGTGGTCGGGCTCCTGGGCGCGCTCGGCTTCTGGCCGCTCACCGTCTACTTCCCCGTGGAGATGTACATCGTGCAGAAGAAGGTGCCCAGGTGGAGCACGCGGTGGGTGTGCCTGCAGCTGCTCAGCCTCGCCTGCCTCATCATCACCGTTGCCTCCGCCGCGGGCTCCGTCGCCGGAATCATCTCTGACCTCAAAGTGTACAAACCGTTCGTCACCACCTACTGATGACTGATCGATCGTTCGGTGCAGTCAAAACATTTGCATGCACAGATGATTAATTGGCGCCTAGTATGTGCAGTCTTTAATTAAAGCAACATATCAGGTGCAAACCAATTAACCCGTGCAAACTTAAAAACTACCAATCAGGATCACTAGGATGCTGATTCAATGGTTGGGTTGAGGGGGCTTAAGCGCAAAAAAAAAGCCAGCAGGTGGGGGCTTAAGCACAAAAAAAATCTCACCTCTCATCCCATCAATTGAATCAGCATCTAGTGGTCTTGATCGGTAGTTTTCAAGTTTACATAGGTTGGTTGGTTTGCATCTGATACGTTGCCTTAATTAAACTAGGCATTAATTAATTACTATCACACGGTAAGAAAAGGGAAAGAAAAAGGTGATTATTGGTACGGTGTTCTAGTGATGCGTAGCTTGCATCGCTGATTTACCGTGTCCTTGCTAATTTCCATTGTTTGTGATCTGGTTGACCGAAAATGCTAGTGAATTAAGAGAAATCAAATAGTAGTAGTGTGCGTTCCCAAGCCAAATGCATTATTAAAGTTATCAGTACAGAACTCATGTAAAGTGTCTGTGTTCCAATCCAGAATTGTGTTCATAAGGGGAAAACATGCTTGTTCCTACGAGACTCTACAACAATTTCTTACATGCCATGGTTACAGAATTTGAGGCTATGACCTATTTCTTCGTGGTATTTAATGGCAAATTTTCAGCATCTATCATTTCTTATGCTAGAGCTTAAATAGACATATAAAGATTATTGAAAGCTAGGGTATATTTGGTTGTTGCCCTGACATACATCTGCCAGATAAGAAATTCTGGCCAGTACGTACTCAAAATCAATGGTTTGGATTGCTGCTTGGCCAGACAAACTTGCCCGGTACAAGCAACCTAGATTGTGTGGCCTTTCAGGTATTGCCTGACCAAACAATTGATCAAGGTCCTAGGCATCTAAAATCGGACGTCTGGAAGCGCTATCTAACCGAGATAACTTCGCCATACCTCTATACAAACAGGCCGAATATTTGGACGTTCATGGGTCTCCCAAGTGATCAAGTCCCAACTAGCAAAACAGGAGGAGCATCGTCTGCAGTGCAGTGCAGCGAAGGAAAAAGGATGGCTCACGCTAGACGCCAACGCCAGAGTTTGTGAACCGAATACAAAAAGATCCCAGTACAGGGTGCATCTGGAAACAAAAAAAAAAAAAAAGAAAAAGACACGGAAAGATGCTACTTTTAGGGCCCGTCCCTTCGGTTATGCCATTCCCGGTCTTTGCTGGGCAGAAACAGTCCTGTGCTATGAAAAATAATGAAGAAACGGAGAGGACAAGAATGGATCTGGCTAGAAATTATTGTAACTGAACGAGGCTTTAGGCTTTGTTCAGTTACTCAGTATTTCTCCTGGAATCCATCCAGGTGATCAAAACTTATATAAATTATACAAGCAAATTGGGTAGGAATGATTCCAGTTCCTTTTAAAACGAACGGGCGCTTATGAATTTACACTCCCTGGTAAGCTAGGCTCCTCTGCTACACGGCAACCGGCTCGGTTGGTCCCGGGCTCCCGGCGAGCACGAGCCGGACGGAACTGGACGTGACTCGTGACTCGTGAGTGACAGTTCCTGTGTGATCCAAACGAGATATCGTCGAGAGGCACGCCCACAACCAGGGCAGGGCAGCGCAATGGCGCGACGGCGACACGACGGAGAGGCACCGGTACGTTCCGCGGCGGCGTTGCGGCCACAAGCCCGCCCACGCACATCCGCGGAGGAGGCGACGAGAAAGCCCCCCGAAAGGCAGAACGACGACGACGGAGGCACTAGAACGTTTCGCCTTTCGCGGCAGTAACATACATCTCGCTTTCTTCTTTTGTCGCTCACTCAGTAAAGTAAATTTTGCTCCAAGGGCACGTACCCTCGTATTGTGAACCAGAAGATTCGCGCTTCGATTCGTGTCCAGCGGGAAGGAGCCGCGCACTCGCCCTCGGCCCTGCTAGTGCATGACTTCCGCGGCAGCAAGCAGCCAAGCGCGTTCCACGCGGGCTGGAAAGACCCGACCGGCGGCCGGGGCCAGCAGCCGCCGAGGCTCCAGGAGGGTAGGCATCGGAGGATCTCCTGGGGCCTGGGCTGGGAGCCTGGGACGGGACGTGGCCTGAGCCTGAACAACCCCGGCCACCACGACTGGTCGGATGGATCACACGGCGCCTCCGCTCCGCCCCTGCTTTTTGCCCTCCTTTGCTGATTAGATTAGACGACGGAAGGAAAGTACGGACGCCGCATTACGGTCGAGCTTTCTCGGTTGCTAACTAGTAATGGCGCCAACGGTGGCGGCAAAGGGAAGGTTCCCTGAAGAATCTCCAAGATTCCTCCTCCTCCTCGGCTCGGCTCGGCTCCACCTCCACTACAAGGCTACAAGCCTACAACCAACTTGTACAATAATCCACTCTCTTTGACGCGTGGCTCTCACTCTCAGAGTGATCCGGCGCGGTGGCGCATTGCTGGTCCCGGGGCCCGGCCGCTCTGCTCCTCTGCCGTCGCCGTCGCCGTCGCCCGGGATTAACAACAGCAGAAATATCATGTCCGCCTCCGATCCAGTCTGGAAAGAGCGGCGGCCGTGGAGCTGGAGCGTAGCCAGTGGCCGTGCGCTGGAGCGCGGGAATGTTCGTTCGCACGCGGCTGTTGGAGTGTTGGTTGCCTGCTGCCCTGGTTCCTTGAATCCTTGTACGTCCGACATGTGCCGATGCCGTTCTGCATGGCCTCTGGGAGTAGGACTGCGACGGTGAGGTCCTGCTTGGCGGGCTCAAGTTGTTACCAGGTCAAGCAATCGCTCAAAAGACGGTGCATATATTCCGAAGGAGGTGGACGAGATCGATGGAGCGGGATGCTGCGATCGATTGGGAATTCCCTGCGATCGCGTTCAGTTGGCACTTGGCGGTTGCTGTTGGGACAAGAGTTCTAAACTCCGGCTGCCTCAACCCCCAAGGACTGCAATTGCAAACAAGAGGGCATGCCCCTACTGGAATTTTATTGAAAACTAACACAGGGAACTACTTACTCCGTCACCAAATAAATCAAATCCTAAAATCCGTGCCGGTCAAACTTTTTTAAGTTTAACTAACTTGATATAAAAGAATAACGACATCTATGACATGAAAATATATTCTACGGTAAATCTAATGATGCTAATTTCATACCATAAATCTTAACATTTTTTCATACAAATTCGATCAAAGATTAAAAAGTTTGACTTAAGACAACTTTAGAAATCTATTTATTCAGGGACAGAGGAAGTACAAACGTCTGGAGACTCAAATTAAGAGACAAAGAAAGAGGTAAAGAAGATAAACCAAGCTAATGAGATCACTGGATCACACCACACACAACAAGAAAAATAGGTACATGAATTGTTGGATAAGTGGATTCCAGTAATCAACAGCACCTGTATGAGCGGAAGCTAAGAGCGGGAGCAGCTAGTATTACAGAATAATACAGAGCCACTGATGAGTGGGCCAGGCGACCAGCTGAGCTAGCTAGTACGGAAAAAGCAGCAAGATGTTGGTTGCCACTCCTGTCCTGCCTGGTAGGGCAGCCTATATGGTTCAGTGCTTGCTCTTGATGTGAAACCTTAAACCAGGGCCAGAGAATGTGCGCTCACACACATGCATGGCGAACAAAAGCACAAAGATGAGACTCAACTCAACATCAGCAAGAGCATTATGACCGCCGCGAAATAAAGCTCAAAAGTGGTGTCATGGAATGGATTGGCCTGCATTATTTTGGCCGGGAAAGCGAGATGAGGCGAGCTAGCTAGAAGCCTAGCCCAGGTGGGACTGGAACAGCATCGGATATATGCATTTATGCGTGCGTGTAACAATCAACGTAACTGGGAATAATCCGGAGTTGGAATTAATCGGGGACGGCGAGGGATCGATTAACCGTTTGCGTTGTCCCCTTCTTATCCCCCCATCATCAGTACAGGATATATGCGTTGCTTGCAGCTTCCTGTTTGCTTTTGACGGATGGTGTTTACACGCTATTCCGGCACTGTTTTCTACTGTGAGATGCGATGCGGTGAGGGGTGGAGACTTGGAGGGCATGCATGCATTATTGGATGCGCTAGTAGTAGATATATGCTGCAATGTGCTGAAAGAGAACGGCTTCAGGGTACGATCGACGTACTACATTGTGAACTGAAAATGTGTGGAGTATCTGTTGCTCCAAAACAGATTTTTGTGACTCATCGGTAAATGGTGCGGTGGTTCTTCTACAGTTGACAGAACGATGTCTATGTATTGGTCTACCTATACAAGGGTAGGAACCAAACATGTCCCTTTTTGGAGAGGCGTACACGATTTTTTAAGGAGAGTTCACCTCCTATATATATATTGAAATATGTATATTTTATTAAAATAATATTCGTAATGAATCAAATGATGTAAAAACTGTGTTGTCAACCCTATATAAAATTTTAGGTCAAATCTATTTTTAACCCCTAACTCATATGGAAGTTTGTTTTCATCTCCAAACTACGAAGCTGGGTATAAGACGCCCTCCAACTATTAAATCAGGACGAATTTTGTGTATCAAATCAAACCACCACAAGCCCTTGGAACCTGAATGAGCTATGGTTGAATACTAAAAAACAACAAGAGATACTCCATTCCTCCCGTTTCCATGGCCCAATCAGCCCATTTAATCTTGTTCTGATCTAGGCCATGGGCTTGGTCCATCGCACAAACAAACATAATAATACAAGCAATATATGACCCTAGCCCATCTCCTCCCTTTTGAAAGGACCCTGGGCCATCTCCTATCCTGCAACCACAATGACGATGAGTAGGTGAGAGACGTCACGGCCTGGCCCGTAGGTGGAAATACATATACCACCATCGCCGAAAAACTCCTCAATATCACAGTATGATCATTGTCGGGTTCATAAACCTGGGGTCCCTCATGGACCTGCTTCCCAGCAAAAGATCGGCCCAGCAGGCGA